CCCAAATTTGTCATTGCCGCAATCCAAAGGTGCATCTGGAAGCCCAGGAAGAGCCAGGAAACCTCAAGCCCAAGCTGGATTCGCAGTCCTTTATTCCCTACTCCTCATCACACCCGGATCCGAGGCAGGAGAAGCTGTTCCAGGGATAAAATTTGATTTTCAGGATCCCTAAACCGCTGTGGCCAAGCCCACTCTGTTGTTGGCCATGTCAAAGATGGAATAATATTGGCGCAGGAAGAGATTCCCAAGGATCCAGAGGGGCTGCCCGCTGGAGGAGGACACGTAGGTGCTCTCCACCCCCACCGTGCAGACTCCATCATTCTGGGGGAAAAAAAAATAATTTCAGCTCTGATTCCCTCTCCGTGGCCGCAGGCAGAGGGAAAAACCTCAGTAAAGTGGGGTGTTGGGAGAGGAATTGTGGATTTCTCCTGCACAAGGCAGAGAAAATGTGGAATTTTCATCCCAAATTGCTGTTGGGTGGAGGAATTCTGCCTACCTGCAGGATGTAGATGGAGGGAGGCAGCGCTAGCCAGGCACCACTGATGGCAAAGGAGAGCGTGGGCATTTCGGGGACGCTGCTGCAGTCGACGAGGAACTGAAAGGAGGGCAAGGAGGGCTCAGGACACCGGGATTGGCACTGGATTTTGTCTGGTGGTCACCACAGCCACGCTTCTCGAGGGTCAGCAGAGCTCTGATGGCGCCAAACCCACATTTATCAAATTATTTCATTTTTACCCTCCTGCAGGGCTGTTCTGGTGTGGATATTTTGCTTTTTTGGGGACTCAGGGAGCATCCAGACAAGGAGGGCTCAGGACACGGGGATTGGCACTGGATTTAGTCTGGTGGTCACCACAGCCACGCTTCTCGAGAGTCAGCACAGCTCTGATGGCTCCAGACCTACATTTATCAAATTATTTAATTTTTACCCTGCTGCAGGGTTGTTCTGGGGAGGATATTTTGTTTCTTTGGGTACTCTGGGAGCCTCCAGGTAAGAAGGACTCAGGACACCAGGGTGGTCACCACAGCCGGGCTTCTCGAGTGTCAGCACAGCTCTGATGGCTCCAGACCCACATTTATCAAATTATTTCATTTTTACGCTGCTGTGGTATTGTTCTTGGGGGAATATTTTGCTTTTTTGGGGACTCTGGGAGCCGCCAGGCAAGGAGGGCTCAGGACACCGGGGTGGTCACCACAGCCACAGTTCCCAAAGGTCAGCACAACTCTGATGGCACCAAACCCACCTTTATCAAATTATTTAATTTTTATGCCACTGTAGGATTGTTATTGGGGGAATATTTTGCTTTTTTTTTACGCCACAGTAGAGTTGTTCTGGTGGGGATATTTTGCTTTTTTGGGGACTCTGGGAGCATCCAGGCAAGGAGGACTCAGGTCATGGGGATTGGCACTGGACAATGTCCAGTGGACACCACAGCCACGCTTCTTGAGGGTCAGCACAGCTCTGATGGCGCCAAACCCACATTTCTCAAATTATTTCAATTTTAGGGTTATTACTGGGGGAATATTTTGCTTTTCTGGGGACTCTGGGAGCCTCCAGGCAAAGAGGGCTCAGGGGTGGTCACCACAGCCACACTTCCCAAAGGTCAGCACAACTCTGGTGGCACCAGACCCACATTTATCAAATTATTTCATTTTTACACTGCTGTGGGATTGTTCTTGGGGGAATATTTTGTTTTTTTGGGGACTCTGGGAGCCTCCAGACAAGGAGAGCTCAGGACACTGGGATTGGCACTGGGTTTTGTCTGGTGGTCACCACAGCCATGCTTCTCGAGGGTCAGCACAGCTCTGATGGTGCCAAACCCATATTAATCAAATTATTTCATTTTTACGCTGCTGTGGGATTGTTATTGGGGGTTATTTTGCTTTTTTGGGGACTCTGGGAGCCTCCAGGCAAAGAGGGCTCAGGGGTGGTCACCACAGCCACACTTCCCAAGGGTCAGCACAACTCTGATGGCACGAAACCCACATTTATCAAATTATTTCATTTTTACGCTGCTGCAGGGCTCTTCTGGGTGAATATTTTTCTTTTTTGGGGACTCTGGGAGCCTCCAGGCAAGGAGGGCTCAGGACACCGGGATTGGTCACCACAGCCACACTTCCCAAGGGTCGGCTCTGATGACAGCAGACCCACATTTATCAAATTATTTCATTTTTACACCACTGTAGGGTTGTTGCACTGCCCACATCCTGCCCACCTACCCCGTATTCGCTCTCCTCTGCACCCAGAGCCTGCAGCAGGGCTGCCATGAACTGGCCTGGGATGGTCAGC